AGAAAGTCGTTGTTTGTTTTTTATGAAATAAATATCTTCGTGATTTCAGGTGAAATTATATACATATAACACAATTATTCACGAGAAACTAATTCAGTCGTCTATGACGGAATTAACACAGGTCATTAAAATGATGAACTCCATTCAGCAGATGTTTGATCACAACGATACACAAGTATCTGTGAGTATTTTACCAAATAGAATCATCGCTTTGAGTAGTTTCCTTCATATTCGACGTTATTTTAATGAACGGATGAATTTAATCTCGCCACAATTTTTCAAACTGATTTCAATAATGACCGAATCCTACCTTGGATTTATTACTCCTATGGTTTCTCTGCTTATTGGAATTCTCAACCAATGTCCTGATTGCTTAAATTCTAACACTGCTGTCAACTTAAACTCGTAATCGAATAAACTTCATTCATAAACTTTTTTTTTGTACTATGTGATTTGTGTAATCAATAGAACGTTTTTCATCTTAAAATTTGTCTATGTCACTGCCTTTTCTCAGGTCAAAACCGCTAGTAAAAATTGGTTTTCCAGTTCACAACTATGTTCTTACAATGGTTTTCATCAAGAAAACTTTTTTAATGATAAGTCCACATGTAGCTAATGAGGATGAGTGAATCAATTTCGAAGTCAAACACGAGGCAAAATCAGATGATCTGACCATGTTCAGCATGTTTACAAATACAAAGAGTCGTAGTTTCGAATAAAATCTAACAAGTTTTTGAACCTCAAAGGGTTTGTTGAGTTAAAAAGGAAATAATATATACTTTGGACAGTAGGGAACAGATTGATAACTGATGGAAAACAAAAACGAGATTTGCAATTGAATGAATCCACTCTTGAACACACATTTAGAAAATAAATGGAGAATCTTCTGTCTTTCTCATAACTGATGAAGAGGACATATCGTTCGCTGTTACCTATTTGTCACGAATCTTTACCACACTTTTCAATAAAGACTGGTTATAGAGATGAACTACGACGAGTCGACTGTGCGTTTATGAGACGGCAAATAAAATTTTTCGTCTAGTTAAGCTTCGTCCATTCGCACTGAAATCGTATCATGGATGTCACGAGCGATTGGAACCACTTCCATATGATGACATATTTTATGATGAATTATTCATCAAAAAATATTTTGATACATAAGCAAACCATAAGAATAGTATAACGTCTTAGAATACTTAGCATCCGATGGTTTTGCCAATATCTTCAATTGCGACGAAACTACAATGTAATGATTAAAAAGCCTGGCTACATTAGTAGAGAACTTTTTATGCGATCCTCTTCATGGATATAATCCAAAAAAAGGGCAGCGTGCGATACATAACAATTAAAATGGGACACATAAAGAGTTACTTTACAGATGGAATTATAATGTATGTGAGGATATCAGCGCAAGAACAATAGCGTTACGGACGAGATTGAAATATTTGATATATGTTGCATCCTCCACAACGAAATCATCAAAACACAAAGACAAACTCCTAATGACTTGAATACAGCATCTATTCATTTGGATATTTATGGTTCTTGTGTATAGTTTTTATTTTAAAAACAAATAATTTAAACAAATGAGCAGAAGGTCGATAACAATAGCGTATTTCAAACTAGTGTTCTGTCGCAGGACACTACTCCAAACATATTTGGCCTTTCCACATTTAATTATTATATGTACTATGTGATCAGCTGACTAAATTATTTTATCGAACGCGTTAGTCGTAAACAGTTTCCTATCTAATGGGAAAATACCCCATATACCTAGATCTATAAACAGTTTCCCATCTAATGAGAAAATACCCCACATACTTAGATCTATTGGTATATAATGCTCCTAAACTCTCCTATGTAGACACATACCATCTTTACAACGTGTTAATTTTACTCCGATATTCTGGTAAGATTTGTGTGAAAAAAGCTACACTTTTTCTGCGTTTCTTGTCTCCTTCTATCGTCCGCAAGCTAATAATTTACTGAAAGATGTTCTATTCGATTTTATAAATTATATATTTATGCGTTCTTCGAGTGCTTTTAGACATATTTGAAGATAGTTGAGAGCTGAAGTAAACCCGCAATCAGAAGATGTTCGCAATTGGCCTGAAGACTGCAAAACCATTTCCTATATTTTACCGTGGCCACTATTTTATTCGTTCCCAGCTTCGTCTACCTTTTCAGCAGACTGATTGAAGTAGAATAAAAGTGTTACAAAAATACACTCTATGGTCCAGGTCTTGGCTCACACACCGTCTTTAGATCATTTTCAGACGTACGCAAAAACTGATTATCGTTTTCTATTCTCTATCTTCAGTTCAAGCAGCAAAAATGAATAAGTTTGGATTATTCGGTGGCCTTTTCATGTTAGTTTTGGCGGTGGTCGTGTTTATGCCTGACAAGACCCTCGGCGGTTGTACATGCGATGCTTGGTGTCGAGGACGTGGCTATAGAAATGGTATCTGTGGAGATGGCCATACATGCATTTGCGACGGAATGGATCGATCTAAATGCACGTGCGATGCTTGGTGCCGGGGACGGGGTCGTCGTGGTGGTGTCTGCGGTGATGGGCATACATGCATGTGCTATGGCCGAGGAAAGCGATCTGTGGCAATGCCTGAACATGTTCTGGAAGACGGACGTGAAGTTTTCGTTGTAGATAACACCGACGAGGACGCCAATCATTTAGGTGATGATCAAGCAAATCAATCCACGAATCAATTTTGATCATTACGGAGAATGCTGCTCTTTTTTTTCACTAACTATCCCTGCTTAATTATTCAGTGAAACAGAAATAAACAAGTTCGTCTTGCATGCCTTGTCTAACCTAACTATAACATTCATTTCGATGGTTTTTTCTTGATCAAGAAAAAAAAGTTCTTCATTATCTATCGGAATTAGAGATCAACCATAATTGCTTAGCGACTATGTGCTTCTTTTCTTACACTTCAAAAGTATAAAAACTAAAAAAGTCGTCTACAATTTATTTGTAAACTAATGCCCTCTAATGTCGCATCACGCGAATTTGTACGATCCAATATTTATCTCTTTCTATCACATACATTCTTCACTCATTGTTCTTTATCTATTTTAACGCGTTGAATAATTTCAAATCATTTGATTTGTATCATCGTCATGTCTGAACAAAATAATCAAGATGAAAACGGTACTAGTGCTGCAACAGAGCAAAATCCAATGGTTCAACGTATATCACTTGAAGTAAAACGTCGTGAGCCAAGTTCAGTAAGCACTTGTTCATAAAAAAAAACACCATCGACTTGCTTTCCGAAATTAGGTCAAAGAACTTGTATTAGATAATTGTGCACGTTGTTATTCGATTCAANTTAACGATAGTGGATTTTGATTCGTTTCCATCAGATGATATCATTGAAATAAAGAAGAATTTACAATCAAGATTAGAAGATACAGTAGTAAGAAAGTCGTTGTTTGTTTTTTATGAAATAAATATCTTCGTGATTTCAGGTGAAATTATATACATATAACACAATTATTCACGAGAAACTAATTCAGTCGTCTATGACGGAATTAACACAGTTCATTAAAATGATGAACTCCATTCAGCAGATGTTTGATCACAACGATACACAAGTATCTGTAAGTATTTTACCAAATAGAATCATCGCTTTGAGTAGTTTCCTTCATATTCGACGTTATTTTAATGAACGGATGAATTTAATCTCTCCACAATTTTTCAAACTGACTTCAATAATGACCGAATCCTACCTTGGATTTATTACTCCTATGGTTTCTCTGCTTATTGGAATTCTCAACCAATGTCCGGATTGCTTAAATTCTAACACTACTGTCAACTTAAACTCGTAATCGAATAAACTTCATTCATAAACATTTATTTTTGTACTATGTGATTTGTGTAATCAATAGAACGTTTTTCATCTTAAAATTTGTCTATGTCACATTGGTTTTCCAGTTCACAACTATGTTCTTAGTGGTTTTCATCAAGAAAACTTTTTTTTAATGATAAGTCCACATGTAGCTAATGCGGATGAGTGAATCAATTTCGAAGTCAAACACGAGGCAAAATCAGATGATCTGACTATGTTCAGCATGTTTACAAATACAAAGAGTCGCAGTTTCAAATAAAATTTGACAAGTTTTTGGACCTCAAGAGGTTTGTTGAGTCAAAAAGGAAATAACACATACTTTGGACAGTAGGGAACAGATTGATAACCGATGGAAAACAAAAGCGAGATTTGCAATTGAATGAATCCACTCTTGAACACACATTTAGAAAATAAATGGAAAATCTTCTGTCTTTCTCATAACTGATGAAGAGGACATATCGTTCACTGCTACCTATTTGTCACGAATCTTTACCGCACTTTTCAATAAAGACTGGTATAGAGATGAACTACGACGAGTCAACTGTGCGTTTATAAGACGGCAAATAAAATTTTTCATCTAGTTATGCTTCGTCCATTCGCACTGAAATCGTATCATGGATGTCACGAGCGATTTGAACCGGTTCTATATGATGACATATTTTATGATGAATTATTCATCAAAAAATAGTTTGATACATAAGCAAACCATAAGAATAGTATAACGTCTTAGAGCACCTAGCATCCGATGGTTTTGCCAATATCTTCAATTGCGACGAAACTACAATGTAATGATTAGAAAACCTGGCCACATTAGTAGAGAACTTTTTATGTGATTCTCTTCATGGATATAATCCAAAAAAAGGGCAGCGTGCGATGCATAACAATTAAAATGGGGCACATAAAGAGTTACTTTACAGATGGAATTATAATGTATGTGACGATATCAGCACAAGAACAATAGCGTTACCGACGAGATTGAAATATTTGATATATGTTGCATCATCCACAACGAAATCATCAAAACATAAAGACAAACTCATAATGACTTGAATACAGCATCTATTCATTTGGATATTTATGGTTCTTGTGTAAGTTTTTATTTTAAAAACAAATAATTTAAACAAAGGAGCAGAAGGTCGATAACAATAGCGTACTTCAAACTGGTGTTCTGTCGCAGGACACTACTCCAAACATATTTGGCCTTTCCACATTTAATTATTATATGTACCATGTGATCAGCTGACTACATTATCTTATCGAACGCGTTAGTCGTAAACAGTTTCCCATCTAATGGGAAATACCCCACATACTTAGATCTATTGGTATATAATGCTCCTAAACTCTCCTATGTAGACACATATCATCTTTACAACGAGTTAATTTTACTGCGATATCCTGGTAAGATTTGTGCGAAAAAGCTACACTTTTTTCTGCGTTTTTTGTCTCCTTCTATCGTCCGTAAGCTAATAATTTACTGAAAGATGTTCTATATTTTACCGTGGCCACTATTTTATTCGTTCCCAGCCTCGTCTACCTTTTCAGCAGACTGATTGAAGTAGAATAAAAGTGTTACAAAAATACACTCTATGGTCCAGGTCTTGGCTCACACACCGTCTTTAGATCATTTTCAGACGCACGCAAAAACTGATTATCGTTTCCTATTCTCTATCTTCAGTTCAAGCAGCAAAAATGAATAAGTTTGGATTATTCAGTGGCCTTTTCATGTTAGTTTTGGCGGTGGTCGTGTTTATGCCTGACAAGACCCTCGGCGGTTGTACATGCGATGCTTGGTGTCGAGGACGTGGCTATAGAAATGGTATCTGTGGAGATGGCCATACATGCATTTGCGACGGAATGGATCGATCTAAATGCACGTGCGATGCTTGGTGCCGGGGACGGGGTCGTCGTGGTGGTGTCTGCGGTGATGGGCATACATGCATGTGCTATGGCCGAGGAAAGCGATCTGTGGCAATGCCTGAACATGTTCTGGAAGATGGACGTGAAGTTTTTGTTGTAGATAACACCGATGAGGACGCCAATTATTTAGGTGATGATCAAGCAAATCAATCCACGAATCAATTTTGATCATTACGGAGAATGCTGCTCTTTTTTTCACTAACTATCCCTGCTTAATTATTCAGTGAAACAGAAATAAACAAGTTTGTCTTGCATGCCTTGTCTAACCTAAACTATAACATTCATTTCGATGGTTTCTTATTCAAGAAAAAAACGTTCTTCATTATCTATCGGAATTAAAGATCAACCATAATTGCTTAGCGACTGTATACTTCTTTTCTTTTCTTACACTTCAAAAGTATAAAAACTAAGAAGTCGTCTACAGTTTATTTGTAAACTAATGCCCTCTAATGTCGCATCACGCGAATTTGTACGATCCAATATTTATCTCTTTCTATCACATACATTCTTCACTCATTGTTCTTTATCTATTTCAACGCGTTGAATAATTTCAAATCATTTGATTTGTATCATCGTCATGTCTGAACAAAATAATCAAGATGAAAACGGTACTGGTGCTGCAACAGAGCAAAATCCAATGGTTCAACGTATATCACTTGAAGTAAAACGTCGTGAGCCAAGTTCAGTAAGCACTTGTTCATAAAAAAAACACCATCGACTTGTTTTCCGAAATTAGATCAAAGAACTTGTATTAGATAATTGTGCACGTTGTTATTCGATTCAAGGCTTAACCGATGACTTTTCAAACTTACGTGTTCTTTCCATAATCAATGTGGGTTTGCAATCACTTGCTAAATTTCCTAAATTGCCCAAACTTCGAAAAGTACATTCATTTCTTTGTTGACCTCTTGTTCATTTTCGTAATCAAATATCATTTAGCTTTATCTCAGCGATAATCGTTTAAGTGCAGGCTTGGAGAATCTCGAGGGATGTCCAAATTTAACGTTGCTGATACTTGCCGGAAACAAATTCAAATCAATTGATGATCTCAAACCATTAGTAAGTGAAATTCCGTTCGTGAAACATACATGATTCGATTTTGCTCTAGGGTAAATTACCAAAATTATCTGTCCTTGATTTGATGAATTGTGAGGTGACTAACGTCGATGGATACAAAGAAACAATGTTTAACATGTTACCACAACTAAAATATTTGGATAATGCAGATAAAGATGGAGGTTAGTTCGAAAAGAAAGAACTAAAATTGTTCACGCATCAATTTGTTTAGTTGAAAAAGATAGTGATGACGAGGATGATGATGACGATGAAGAAGAAGAAAATGATAATGAAGGTAAAAAGATAAGCTCTGCGAGAGAATATAATTGATTACACTTTGTAGACGATGATGACGAAGAAGACGAGTACGAAGAGGTACGAATGAGTTTTCTTTTGAACAATGATGAATATTTTCATTATTGTAGGATGACAGTAAAACTGGTTTGAAAGCTTTATATAATGGAACACTTGAAGAAGGCGATGATGACGAAGAAGAAAGCTATGAAGGAAACAGTGAAGAAGAGGAATCAGGTAAGTTTGTTTGACAGGTTTAACGATTTGTCTATGACGAAAATTGTAGACGAAGATGATGATCTTTCTGAAGGTGATGTTTCAGCTGGTCCTGTTGAAGGTAAATGCAAATCTTGTTTGTTTGTTTATACATCATTGACATTTTCTAGAAGCACCAAAAGGCGAAAAACGCAAACGAAACGCTGATAATCAAGAAGAAAATGATGACGGTCCTCAACGTAAAAATTAAACATTGTTCAGTTCCAAAACACTATGTCACATGTTAATACTGTACAGAAAGATTATTTCCATTATATCAATATATGATCTCTGTGTTAATTAAATCAAAACAATCATTTAGATAGTTGTAGAGAATTCTATTTTCTATTTCTTCTAGATAAATTTCCAGCATGACTCGGCACAAATGAAATTTCATAGTTCGCACATTCTCGAGGAAATTGTTCCTGTGAATCATTGTCGTGAATGATTCAATCCTTATTGACTACGAGGGACATCTAGAAGATTCTTTTCAACATGACGTGACAAAATACCAATATAAATACACATAGGATTGACTTACTTTTCGCTTACAAAAAGATTGTTAATTGAAATTGATGGTCGACTTTTTTCTTTGCAGATTTTGTGCCTTTTTCAAAAGTAAAAATGCATATTACAGTAGCGAAATTTGGTGGTTCAGAAAATGTATTCACGGTTGAGATTGCATCGGATCTTTCTTTGAAGGATTTGAAAGCGGTGATTGAAGCTGAATCTGATTTTGGAATAAAAGCAGACGAAATGAGTCTTTTCTATGAGGGTAATTTCGATAACTGAAAGCTCAAAGTTTGTTCTAAATCAATGAAATTTATTTGTAGGAAAATTACTCCCGGATGAAAATAAAACACTCGAACAATGTAAATTCAGTGATTACGATCTTATCACATGCCAACGATCACGATGTAAGCGAAAAAGTTAAGTAGCTGTTTCTTTTATATTGGTAATTTTAGCTGCGGAGAGTGTGAATAATGGAGCGTCGGGTGGTGCACGTCGAAATTTGAATCGTATGTGTTTTTCATGCAAAATAGGACGCTAGTCAAGTTTGATCTCCTACATAGCCCGCGATCCTCGTCAACTTTTCGAAATGCTTCGTTCCAATCCCGAAATGTTACAACAGATACGTCAGAATTCTCCTCAAGTCGCTGATGCTGTTCAGCGCGGTGATTTCGGTAGGAAAACTTCTTCTTAGAAAACAATTTTTCAAATCACTTATTACAGACACTTTCATTCAACATGTCGCTGCTCGATCACCTGAAATGCAACAACAAATGGAACTCGAACGACTTGCTAGTCTCGATCCATTCGATCCCGAAGTTCAACGACGCATCCACGACATTATCAAGTAAATACAAAATCCATTATTTTGCTGAAAGATTTATTGTGATTATTTCAGTATGCAAAATGTGCAAGACAATATGGAACATGCTGTTGAACATGCACCAGAGGTCTTCGGTCACGTTGTTATGCTTTACATTAATTGTAAAGTCAATGGTCATCTAGTGAAAGCATTCGTTGACTCTGGTGCCCAGATGACAATCATGAGCCAAGCTTGTGCAGAACGTTGTGGAATCATGCGTCTTGTTGATCGACGTTTTAGTGGAATCGCGAAAGGTGTTGGTACACAGAAAATCATCGGTCGAATTCATTTAGGTTTGTCACGTCCTTTCCCATCGGTTGTTGTTGAATTTCTTTTTCTTTCAGCTCAACTTGAAATAGAAAAGCATTATTTTGCTACATCTCTATCTGTGTTAGAGGACCAACCGATGGATATGTTATTGGGACTGGATATGCTTCGGCGTCATCAGGTAAGTGAACTTGGTTGAAATATTTCCGTGGAATTACTGGTTCAAATTTTCAGTGTGTTCTGGATCTGAACAAAAATGTTCTTCGTCTTGCCAATACTGTTGAAACTAGTTTTCTTCCCGAATCCGAATTACCGCATCATGCACGATTGTCTGGAAATGGCGCAGAAGCGGAAGATGGCGATTCAATCCGAGCCGGTAAATATCTTTGTCATTATTCTTTGAACACATCAGAAGAATTGTCCGTATCTTTCGATTGAAAAACAAGCTCGTAAAGAGAATTCTGTACTGAGATAAATTATGTTCTACTTGCATTAGAATCTCCGACACAACAAACGACAAAAAGAACTCGATGCAAGTAGCATGCTTTTTGTTTGTGATTGTTTTTCTTGATCATAATCTATCGAGTGTATAACGTATTTGATACATAGCAAGCATCGAAGGAGATATTTCGAGAATAACTATGCTGTTATTTTAGCTGACGGTCATCAACAACCTCGTTCACAACAATCAGCAACGGCTAGTTCTACTACATCATCCTCATCATCATCGTTTCCAGAAGATACAATAAAACATATTACAAAAAGTGGTTTTACAAGGGAACAAGCAATCGAAGAATTAAAAGTGACAAATGGCGATCCTACTAAAGCGCTTGTTTCGCTCATGGCAAAAAATCTATCAGTACCAAAACGAAAACGTTAACATCTATGATTCCAATGTACATATATATTGAAGATAAAGACTATCAACTGTTTTCTTGTTGTCTCTTATGCTTTAAGCAATTTTTCGTGTTAATTAAAATGGAATATCCTAGGATCATTTATCTCATGAAATAAAAGTGCATTTCCATCCCTGAATATAGATGTTTTACGATCAAAGCGATAATATCGGAGGCAGTCGAACAACTTTGTGAATATGTATCATATTATAGATCAAAAAATAACATTCACTAATGATTTTTATAATTAATAAATTATTTAGTGATATTTTTAATGTGTAATGCCTTGTTTAAACATATATATATATAAATCGGTGTGAAAATAGCATGAAGATGTTATCACGAAAAAAGCAAAGATTTGCGTATAACTTTGTGTAGGAATAATTGAGTACTTGAACCGCTCTAGAATCGGTTAGTATGTGCGGCCGGCCGTTAGCACGGTCATTTCTGAAAGGCTCATCTGATCGTCATGAAATTTTCTACACAACATTATCTCATCAATATCTCGGTTGACAGAAGAAAATGAGAATGATTGGTTTAACCCTTCCTGAGTTATAGCAAATAATGTCATCATTTTTATGCCTGAATATGGAAACATTGACCTTGACTCACTTTGATAAAAAACGATTTCTCTTTCAATCAAGTAAAATCTCATTTATAATATACCATTCAATAAAGAATTTCACGTGCTACAACATGGTATTTATAACATTAAGAAAACTAACTTTTATTTCGTCCACTTTCGAATCGATTTAGATGCATATAGTGTATTTTTTTCAAAATTTTCGACAGTATATATCCGTGAAAATTTTTGACCAGAAATATGAAGAGGAGAGAACGATACCAGTGTGTAGCCCGTGAAAAACGCTATCGAACCCATTGTAAGAGATATGTTCGTAAGGACATTATCACTGCATCGTGAACGATCAACCTCTATGGCATATCTTAAAATATTAATATAGATCCCATTTGTTCAACAAAAGTTTATTTTACAGCTACCTTTTCAGAGTGGTTTATATGAATTTGCTTGGAAAGTCTTGCTCTTTCTAGGGTGTGAGTATTGTTCTTTTTACTCATACACACTATCGTGCGCCACATCCGTATCCAGTACCAAAAGGCAGTAGTAGATAAATACTCTAAAAATCGAAGATAGTTTCCCAGAATTTCAGGAAAATCACAGTGAGACGAAATCGAATGACTCTTAAAGGGAATATTTCATAAAAAAATATATCTCGTTCGCTCAATATTCTTCTTCGATAAAGATTTTTTTAAATATGAAATCTGAATGGGAAAATATATTTAATTAGTATTCGTCTAGATCGTTATGGTGATGTCATTCGTTGTAAAAACCAATCCAGCTGTTTCAACGGGATATTTAGACCAAAGACTGACGGCATTGCAAAAACTGCATACTATTTCGACTTATGTTACACCGTACTGCATAAGGTTCAGAGTATACCGTCTCGCGAAATACCATACTGTTAGATCGATTTTTCAAGACTACTATAATCTGTTTTTTTTTTCACATATAAAGTGCAATTTCACAAAAAACTAGCACCATCCACAATAGTAGAAGTTCGCATATCTTTACATACATATCGAGCCATCAAGTCTTTCATTTCTCTTAAATGAAAATCCGGTAGTCGAACGCTTTCTGAATGACTATACGCAGTGATCAAACTTTGAGAACATGACAAAGTAGAATTGATTTTTCGATAAGATGATTCACAATTCTACTTTTTGAGATAACTGCTGCTGTTAAATATATACGAATACTAAATAAAGCAACTTTTTCACGAGACAAAATCGAAGATTTTTTTAGGAGTATCATTCGAGTCGAGGTTGACAGAAAAACCAAATGAACGGCAACAAATCGATGAGCTTTTATTGTTCAAATTATCGAACAACATATCGAGTTTTATAGATATTGAATTTTTCCACAGATGTGCTTTTCATTTGATGGTGCTGTCGATCAAGAAAGATGAACAATAGACAACGATGGTGGTTCTCCTACAGAATTTGTTTGTATGAACTGGTCAGAAACAGGTGATGATGTTTCACAAACATATTGATCTAATTTACTGATATTCTCTTTCATTACACTTCACTTTCGACTGAACAAAATTGCAATGAAGAAGAAGAAGAGAACAACAAACTGAAAGACAATTAATTCTTCTTATTTCTGTTGAGTTCCTATTAACATCTAAAGCCAATAATGAAGTAAGATCGATGTCAACGGAAATTCTTGTTACAGGATTGTCCTTCGTACAACGATACGCAAAAACAGTATAACTATAACAAAAATATATCATTTTATTTTCTCATTTGTTGAAAATTTTTCCAAGTCGTTCAAAAAGAGAACTAACAGAGTTAGATAAATAATAATGAAATACAAACCATTCGAGTTCAGTTTTTTCTTATCTCTAGTTCTAAAAAAAACATGTCAACAAGCGTGTAATATCTACTTAGTTGATCAAAAACTGATTATTAACGACAAAAAAGAATAGCGTAATTAGCAATCGTTATTTGAGAAGTCTCTTCAATTTCGTATGCATCAATTATAGATCGAAATCTAAGTTCGAGAGATTATAAGATAATATTTGAGATAATTTAACCAATATTTTAATATCTCTCAGAAATCTTTCAGGTTATCCAGAAGATGATAAGAAGAATGAAGATACAAAGTTGATTAACATGGTGATTGTACATCGGAGAAACAATATGGTTATTCTACGGGACAAGGGTGTGTATTTGTTTAAATCAACCAGGTAAAAACGGAGAAAAAAAGAATCAAATAAAATGAAATAAAACGAAGAATTTATTTTAAAACGTAGATTGTTGGTTTTGAACCAGGCCCAAACAACGATTCAAATAAAACCATATTGATTGAATATAGCTGGTTGTGAAAAAAATGGTCAAGAAATTCCTACACATTGTCAGAATGGAGAAAGTTAGATCAATTGAATTGATTTTTTTTTCAAATTTTCTTTGTTTCTTTGTCTAAATATAAAGCTCATTTGGATAATATTGCATAAATCTCGAGTATCGAGTACCAACAGGAGAAGAAAAAATGGTATAAAGTGCGGTCTCGTACAAGAAACGGAAAATCTTGAGGGTGACATTCCTAGAGTTTGTTAAGATGACGATGACGAAACTAATTGTGCACTGCCTGGTTTGAACAGTCTTGGTGATACCGATTCGACGAAAAATATGGCTTATTTATAGAGATGTCCTAAAGTTTCTTCTTCGAACAACAACTGTCACTTAAATTTCATTCATTATTAAGATGAAGAAAAATCAACGATTTCGTGGCTAGTTTTTTCCAGACTGATCGAATTCCATCATTGACACTTCATTCTATAGTCAATAGAATGAACAATTCAATCAGAAGCACAAAGATATGTATCATTTGATGAATAAGGTCAGTGAGAAGAGTTGAAATTGTTGGAATGAAAATCGAACATGACAAACATTCAAGAGTTCCGATAATGATAGTGAACATCGAACGAACTTCTTTCTTTTATCTATTACATCGATCAAATTATTCCTCAATGCTTCGATATTTCCGACAAGATCTATATATTGATTTTTGTCAATTCCAAATCGTTTTAATCTAAAGACAAACAACTCATCTTTCGATCTACTTAACAGCAACAAAAAAAAAACAATCGGTGTGAACCGAGCACCATTTAGCTAGCACCGGATAATGAAAAATGAATGGTGTCGTTGAGGGTATAAGTACAAGTGAAACTATATCTATTTCTATTCCTATATACTCATTTGTTATAAGTGTGATACAGACATCTATTTCTATTCGAATTGATACTAGCCTGTCGGAGGTCGACTTATAATATAAGTCAAATTAGGCATCTCATGTATAGCAGAGGATTATCAACGATCTTATTCACAACAATCAACATTTAAAGTACCAGACAACGCTTTCTCCTAAATCTAATTTTATTTAATACTGGAATGAATAGTTCAATTTATTACGTATTATATTTGCAAAAAAATCGAGTCATTTGATCGTTTGCTGTTGACTAGATCAGTGTTTTTTAACGTGCGAATAAGAATAATACGAGGCGCTCGTCTTCTTTACTGAACTGTATTGAACAGAACTTTGCCCAACAGCGACATGTCCGGGAGAAACTATTCCAGAATGATTAGGTGTGACAGAAAGTGTACAGATACCAGGTGTAACCGAAGTCACTTGAGGTTCACATACAGGAACAGAACATGCAGTAATTGGCTTGTACACATTCACATTTGTAGAAGCTATAACAAAAATAATAGTTTTAGAGACATATTTTGCAATTTGACTATGACTTCAGCAAGAACTAAATAAGTTATGTATTCTTTCGAACAAGTTTTCTATGATAAGATTTTTACTTGTATAATTGTTTTTCATATGGTTGATAATCTCGTAAAACTCTTTTGCTACACATTTAATCTATAATAATCATTAAAAAGTTCAATTAATCAAGTACACCACTACAACTTACTTTGTTATAATGGATCGCCCACTTTTTATGATGATCTACATTCATGCAATATACATAGATTGCTTCAACCTTATAATCATTATGAACGCTTTGCGTAAGTTCTTCACCAAAATTACCATTCACAATCAAAAGAACTCGTGATCTGTTGCACTGAATATGAGTTACGCATTCCTGTAGTGTGTCATGTATGACAACAGGTTCGGATGAAATACCTAATTCTTGTAAAGCATTCAGATGTGCATATTGACTTTTCGCTGTTGGATCGAGCCATGCAATTGTAAATCTGTCCATTAGAAGATATTCGTCAATTACTTGCTAACTAAGTACAACAACCTTCTGCTAGGTCTTATATCATTAACGCTTATATATAGACACAAATCAGGTCAATTCGAAAACGAAAACGATGAGATTTCTTTTGTTTACTGCAACAGCAAATATGCGATACGAGTATTTGACATATTTTCTTGTTTTCGAGACTGGATGATAATAAATATTTATTTTCATTATCGTACTGATATTTTAGATATCACATGAGAACTCCTAAATCATGCGACTTGTTTTATTTATATCTACAATTGCAATGCAGTTAAAATACGAATACTATATCATCTTCATTTATCAAATGTGTTCAAAATTCAAATTCTGTATTACATGTATGAGATTCAATAATTAGTCATATACATATGATTTACTAGTTTGTACTATAAATTTGCTTTTAAATTCATTTTGTTCAATTGATTCTTTCTCTTTCAGTTAATCGATGTGAAAATCAGTGCGTTGAAGTAGAGATGATGCTCTTCACAAATTTCACTTCGATTGATTTAATTAAGAGTTTCTTGCTTATTGTTAAGTAATCTATTTACTCAACTGATTATTCATCGTTAAGGGGAAAATGTTCTTGTTATTATCTTTCATGCAGGTAACTTGCCGAGACAACTAAAAATAAACGGACGTTATCTTTTGAATCAAAAGCATACATACACAATTTGAGACGATATCTTTTCACTAAATCTTCATGTAATCTCAGAAATAAGTATCTCGATGAGTGTGGCATGTGCGGAGGATGTTGAAGGTTGATAGTTTTCAACGGAATTCAAGCTTCAAGTTCTACACTACTGGAAAGTGCTAGAAATATACGTTGAGATTGATTTATCGTTTATCTTTACCGACAGTATTTTATTAATACAGAAAAAATTGTAGTTAAGTTGAAGCTTTGTCATTTGACACTTAGATATAAGATTATTTTTCGCAAATGAATCATCAATCAATGAACAAATTTATATTTCAATAAAATGAAGATAGATTCTCTTGCCGTTGCTGCTTTTGCCACACGTCAACTCCAGCTAGGTAAATCGTGTGCGAAATAGATGATGTGTTGGAACGAGTATTTTGATCAACTGAAGTAGATTTGCTCTTCACACCATTCGGCTTACTTTGATGATCGTTTGAACCTGTCTCCGTTGATAAACTCGATAGTAAGGATGATCTTGGAAGTAGTAGAAACGTATTTCTACTCGAATTCACTATATTTGGTAATTCTTCATAATCGTACGGTGGTATTTTACGTTGCAATGAAACATTTGTTAATGAAGACATTTCCGTTGTATTTGAATTAAGATCATTCGGTTTCAAATACTTTCGGCATGACGCTAGAGGACTGTCGTCTGTTAATGGCGTTGAATAATGGCTTGAATGTGAAAGATTTGTCATCGGTAATAAAATACTCTTGTTCTGCAAATTGAATTGGAGTTGATTTTCTTTTTGAAATCGTCGAGGTCGCCAACGAACGTATCTACCAGCACCAAATATAACACCGCAACAAGTGAACACACTAATACCAATTGTCACAAGTAAAAGCCAATATCTGAGGCATTTAAGGAATAAAATCTTTCCCTGTTTCGTTTCGGAGCACTGATCTGTAAAACGATAAATAACTACCGACGTTACCGATGAAAATATGAATAACCATAGAGAATAGATTATCATTCGACATGATGATTGTTGCTGTTTTATTAATTGTGCATTTTGTAATCGTAAACGGTCATGCAGTGTCCAATAGTTGTATAAATGAGGCTGATTTTTCGGTAGTAGTAACGTCGTTGGCCTTGTCGGCTGTAGCCTACCGCCATTCACCATCGTCATTAATGTAGTAGACATTGACGGTCGTATAAACAAGATGTGAGAACTCAGTTGGACGGTTAACAAGTGTCTGTTAACGTAGATAACATCTGTTCTTTGTCAGTCAAGTTTCAATCGAATAATCCGAGAAAATTAGAAAAGTTGTCTTTTATGAATACTAAGAATAGTATACGATTACTAATGAGACCTGACAAGATCAATATATAGATGTATGCGAAAGCTAATTTTAGTTGAGAGAACTTAAGGACAATTTTGATAAGAGTAACGATTAGAAATCACTGGAGACCAACGAAGAAAACATTTGGACATCGTCGTATGTCGATCAAAAATACGACTTCATTGGTAATTTATATGTAAAAGAAAGTTTTCTGTAAGTTAATTGTTCTTGTTCTTTAAATATAAACAATAGAAGTAACACGTTCGAACATTATTAATTACCTTGTGATAATTGGTATTAATAATNGAGACTCGAAAATGACAAATCTTTTGCTGTATTTTTGGGTATTAGCCACAGAATCTTGGCCAGTCTAAGACAGCAAAGACGAGAAAGCGACAACAAAAGATAAACACTTACTATAACTCGAGCAAGACTGTGATTAGCTTTCAGTTCGGCATGCTGACGAAAGAGACAAGAAGAAAAAACAACGAGAAATGATGACGATCGGAAACATTTGCGTCAACCGACATGATGATGGAATGTATAGAGGAGGTGTAGAAAGAAGTAGACGCCGATATAAACAGATCAATCGACAAAGAAGAAAGAAAATCATTAACTAAAAAGAATATTTTCCATCTCATAGAAATTGGACAAGATGATGATGCTCATTAAAAAGAAAATAGTTCGTTATCATCCGTTATGTTTCTCTCTCTCTCTCTCGCTTTCTATTCGAAATGTTATATTCTGACTACTAGTATAATTATTTCTATTGTCATATGCTTTATCCCAAACTACTTCTCTCTTTTTGTATACATTCTCTCATCTTTCTTCATCGTCGTTTTTTTTTCTCTATTTTTTTTTTGATTAACACCGACGGAATCAGAGATCGACAGCGTTCAATAGATTGAAGCAAAGAAGCGAACAGCTATGATTTTGCTAGTACAATGTGACAATAAACTCGTAGAGACGATGGAATAATAACACGTTCTTCATCTCCGCCGTTGACAATGATGTTCTATATTCGAGGTTTTTCTTCCATTGCATTTTTGTTTTGGAAATAACATCAAGACAAGAATATATCAAAGAAAATTCACTTTCACTACTCGTGGAATCGAAACAACTCGATTTGCTTGATGAAATCAATGTCCATTGAGCATTTTAATTTAAAAGCAACAATGAACAATCGTTTGATTCACTGCTTGGATTTCTAATCTCTACATATTCCGCTCTTCTTCTCCTCGATTATCTGTTCGATCGAGCATATTTGTTTATTCGTCGGATCTTTTTCTAATAAACCTCTTTTCTTGCCATTTGAATCGATAATACGAATATTCTGTTAATTTAATTTCCTATTACCTGTCATCTGACGAGACTTCTATATCTATTCGTTTGCTGCAAGATAAAAATTAGTACGTATCATGCAAATGTTATCTAAACAAATGCAGTGATTAATATGCCATCGTTCGCTGTTGCTGTTGTTGTTGTCAATATCTAAGAAAATGCAACTATTGATTTGCTCTTTTCATTTCTCAATGCACTCGAATTACTAATGATGAAAAATATGCTCAAATTTTCATAATGAATTCGCTGAAAAATCACTCGTTCTGTCTTATTAATCATTTCCGTTTAAGAAACGTGACAAATGTTAACAGGTTGATATTTATTATCAAACAGTAGAAACGTGCGTTGATCTGATTATGATTGATGTGAAGAAAACGTCTTTTCGAGCTATTCTTTCTCAATAAAAAGAACGTATCTCTATACATTTGATCTTCTTCCTTGCAAGTCTTCTTTTATGTCCTTGAATAACGTGTCTTTTCTGATCTTAAATAATAAAAGATGATGTTATTGCTTTTCAGAGTCCTATTCTTTGACATACTTATAGATTTGATCTTCATTAAGATATACAGACGTATCATCTATATAATACTGAAAAGAAGACGAAGGAGAAAAGAAAACACAAACAACTTGCAGGCAATGAACTGAAAAGACTCCGATAAAAGTTCCTTTCTTTTCAAGTATTTCATTCAGAACTAATCGACAGACCATATGTACATCAATCGATTTGTTCCTGGTCATTAATATCTCGTTATATTTGGCAAGTCGTAGATTTTAGCTTAGGATGAGTTTCTCTAATGCGAGCTAAATGTCATTTCATTAGAACGAGAAAATTTGAAACAGTTTTTCTGTCAAGGTTATAGAGCGTGGCATCAACAAGTTATATTTCATGCATTTATAATTATGACGATTGTAATTCTATTCGAATCTATTATTAATTCTCATTGATTATTATACTAACATATATTGATGATGAAATTCTGTTACATTTCTTCCGGTACACCAAATTCATTTTTCATGGTCAAATGAGACTCAACATTAGATTGTAATCTAACAGATATTCAATGAGATTGTTTCAGTAAGAAGCTCTTATTTGTGAAGAACGATCAAATGTCAATAAACTGATTTTATTCTCTTCTGAGAAGTAGATATGATGTTCTTTATATAGGGACCTTGATTAAGATCGATTGTTAATAATAATAAAAATGGCGAGAGAACATATTTAATATTGAACGAGAAAAATCCAATATAACAGCTTATTAATTCGTCTTGGTGAATACAAATCGTTTTCTGTTCAGTTCATAGATATGAAGCTGAATTGTCGAGGTTTTTTCACTGATTTTAGTTTATTTAATTTGTAAATTTTATTGGCAAATGAATTGTTTATGCGAATGTAGATATGTAATTTCATTGCGATTGTAATACGAGAAACGGCATTTGAATCACTTTCTCTCTCATGCGCATGTGATAAAATCGATATTGATCATCGGACAATAATTGAGAAATGAAAAGAGTACATAGTTCAAGGTTTCTTCTCGAAACAAGATCGTGATTTCTATATGTAACAAGAAAAAAAAAAGAGAGAAGAAATCACGAAATAATAGCTCGATAGTCTCCGAACGTCATTGATACAACGACGGACGGAGGACGGCAAATAAGGAAAAAAAAGAAAAAAGAAGATGTAATTATAGAGTAGGGCAAACTTCAACATATAGAAATGTTCATCTGGACATTTTTTTTTCTTCTCGTCTTATATTAATCTTTTCCATAGCGCACACTCGTAGAATAGTGAGGGAAGAGGGAGAGAGAGAAGTAGCTTCGATCATCATTCTCGCTTTCTTTTCAGTCAAGACCAAGCACACAGAGAAAGACAGAACAGAATGAAAATTAACCATCAAACTAATTTGAATCGCCATCTCCATTGAACTTATTAATAATTGTTCCGCCTTATCACGATTGCCGTATAAGAAATCAATGTCCGGTTCATTCTCATTATGTCGGAAAGAAAGCGGAACAAACATTAGCAGTCCATCAAAAAATCGTATTAGTGAAATGTGTAACCACTTCTGTCTATTCTCATCCAACTGGTCAATCATTTGCAAGTAAGATGAAGACTTCTTGTTACTTATTTGTTTATAATGATAATGATATGTTTTAGCTCATTCATACATTGACGAGGAGATAATAGACAGGAGTGTGCTAGTGTATGTGGTAATCACAGACAGATATCAATGTAATCATTACCCGACAATATTTTTGCGTCATTCTTCGACTTTTTTTTGCACAAAATCTACACTGTTTCAGATTAACAATAGCAAGAAATGCCAACGATGTGGTAAGAAGCACCTGTCAGATTGCCTTTATATATTACAGAACATTCCTTTCTTTCTTTTTCTGTTCAGGAAATAGATAAAGTCTAGCAGCTATGTTCCGATATAGAATAAGTGATGTAATCCAGAAACGAGAATAGGAAGTAAATCAGATCAAGCTACGCTGTATTAAACCTGTCACACTTGATCGATTGATGATCGTTCTTTGCCGACGTACGCAGATTAGCAGAAATTTCCAATTCTCTCGTTCTTTTCTATGATGCAATCAACTGTCATTTCTAATCGATGTTTTCTAGAGATTCAAAAAAGAAATCATGGACATACTTGGATTAATACGTCGTTTACCTGATATAGTTGCCTATAACAAATTTGATGATGACTTTTTTGATCGTTTAAATTATTCTCATACAGTAGCGATCTTAACTATCTTTGCTATTATTGTTACCAATCGACAATTCAGTGAAAATCAAATCAAATGTTGGGTTCGTATTTGCTTTTTTTCTCTCCATCGATTAAATTATATGAATATTATCTAGGTCCCAGCTCAATTTACTGGTAGTTATGAACAATATGTCAATCAGATTTGTTTTATAACAAATACTTACTCACATGATCTGCATCAACCGTTGAAAGATGATCCGGATCAACGATATCAACAGGAATTGAAGTATTATCAATGGACACCGTTTATTTTATTGCTCATGGCTATATTATTTTATGTTCCTCATCAATTTTGGCGTGGTCTCAGTCTTCGAAGTGGAGTTGATATCAAGGATTTGATTGAAGCAGCTCAAACGTATCGTTCGGCAAATGTACATCATGAAGACAAATTGAAATTATTAGATTATTTAACTAATTGGTTGAATAGTTATTGTTCGAATTCATATCGTTTAGTTACACTTGAACAGCGAAAACTTTTACTTTCACGAAAAGCTCAATGGATTCGTCTTATACGTCATATCTTTTTTCCTATTGGAATTTATACAGGCAATTATTTAATCATTAGTTATGTATTTATTAAATTTCTCTATTTATGCAATTCAATCGGGCAAATTCTTCTTTTGAATACATTATTAGGAAGACAATTTTGGTATTATGGCATTGAAATTCTACATAGATATTGGACTAAACAGATTGGATTGCTCTACTCAGGAAATGAATACTTTCCAAAAGTGGTAAGAGAGAATATATTTCATAGTAATACTTGATCGATCATTTTTCAAGAGAGAGATATTTTATCGTATTAAAATTTTCTATAGATATGTTTGCTTTTTTTGCTTAGGTTCTATGTGATTTTACTGTTCGTGAACCGAATCATCCTCGTGAATCACATCGTTATACAGTTCAATGTGTTCTACCATTTAATCTTTTCAATCAACAAATCTTCACCTATCTTTATTTTTGGTTATTGATCTTGTCCATATTCAATGCGACTTCAATTTTAATCTGGTTTTATCGTATATCTCCTTATACAAGTTTTCATTATCTCGAACGACGAATAAATATTCATTTTTTATCAGATGAACATTCGAAAGAACAAGAACTACGGCATATATTTGTCTATAAATATCTACAAGGTGATGGAACATTTATGTTACGTTTACTCGCTTCGAACGTCAGCGATTATGTATGTACAAAAATTGTATTGGAACTTTATCGAAAATTTCGTTCCACATTTATAAATGATAAAACTGGTCGAGAAGCATTATTTGAATCCATAACAAAAAAGATTTCTGAAGATGAAAATAATCCTACTGATGACGAGTCAACATGTCAATCAGTTACAACTGATTGTCTGCCAATACCAAATTCTCGGCAAGGAAAGATTTTTATTGAACGTAACATACTTCGTGCGACATCGTCTGACACAGCCGTAATAAAACAATCTGAACCACATAGGACTGTTTCTTTTACATTGCCGACTACTATACTTGATGAAGACCCACAGTCTACCACTCCTCTTACCAGCGAATTCTTAAAGAGTATACATCCAACTTCAAGTGTCGAAACTGATGTTTCACAACAGACAATTCCTCAAAATAAAACTGCCGAATTCCAACTCGGCTCTGAAACAAGTCCGTTATCCACTCCACCATCACTTTCTACTCCATCACCTCCTGCACTGTCGATCTCATCGACTTTGATGAGAGGACCATCACCTTACGCAACCACGTTTATTCTACCGAAGAAGCGAAATGAATATGAATTACCCTATGTCGATGATAATAATTCGAGCAATCCACCTATTGTCCAACCGACTCATACTAGTGTATATCATCGATCACAATCAGCGGCAGCGGCTTTAGCGTCGTCGAATTCCCTCCTTCAACGAAGTCATGATGTATGACTTTTCTCGCAGAAAGCATCTTTTAATCTTGTCAGACGATTCGATACGCGAGCTGTTCTTGCAATAATAAAATAAAATATTTTTGTTATTTTCATTGTTCTTTTGATTTGGTTGCACAACTTTGTCATAGGTGTATCGCTTCATTGCTGCAAGCGAGAAAGATAATGAAATTTGGACAGAAAAAGTCACATATTTGCACTTTTCTTGATTCAGACGACGTGGATATCCATATCGTCATCCTCAAGATCAAGATGGAAAAACGACTAAGCTTGCTATCGAGTGGGTGGGTATAGCTTGCTAATCGAATAAGAAAGGGTCATCTCTTGAAATTGGAAATGAACAAAAGCTACCATCTGGTGACATCTTTTTACATATGAATAATTCGGATACAAAGTAGATATTTCCCTATTGTTTGATGCAGACAAAGATCTGTTCAAATGTACACACAAAAGTCTATTTCTCTATACTGAATTTCGTCGATATTCGTCACTTAATAAAAGGACGTTTTATCTATTTCTGATGGTTTTTATAAAAGTATGCCATTTGTTTTTCGTCTCTTTTAATTGCAGATGAGTCACTATCTAATTACGAGAAATAATGTAGATGAAGTGAGGATTGTTGTGTGTGATTGACTTCAATAACAGGAGATGTCTTTATTTAGAATATTGGTCCAAATGGTGATACGCGGCAGCAACAGCGTACAGAACATCGAATAAGCAACATTCATACTGGATATTTAACTATAATTGCATACAATCAATATTGGTATCATTCCTACCCAGGTTATTATGGCACGGTCGGATCCGGCCGGTTAGGTTCGTTTTCCGGCCATTTCCTTGCCGCCGGATTCCGGCCGGAAGTTCAAACGTAGGTTCCAGTCATTTCCCGACCGTTTCCTGCAAACTTCGAGCTGGAAACGGCCAGGAACTGATCGGATATTTCCTGTGCAATTCCGGCGGCAAGGAACCTGCCGGAACTTCCTGGAATCGGCGAAAACTGTGCCGGAATCGAGAAGAGCTGTACCGGAACCGACTCAGATTTCAACGGATCCAGTCGCCGGAATGATCGACCTGGAAATATCAACGCTCAAACCGATCACATAAATCAACAAGCCTTACTACTTCAAAACGAACAAATGGATGCTGTGCGCAGCGTCTTGAATCAAATATTGGATACAGTTGAACTTCAAAATAATTAATTTTTTACATCAGATAAGAGAAAAGTTTCTCGTAACTACTGATTTCTTCCATATCAATTTATTTTTGTCTCCAACAAGATATCTCTCCATATCGTTTCCTTTACATTTTCGTATGAAGAGAAACTTCTTCATCGAGTTTCTGCACGAAGTTCTTGTGTGAGACTAAAAATATAACTTTCCCTATATGTGTGAATTTTTGTAAATCTTTATTTTTTCGTGTGAGAGGAGTCATCACTTTTCCAGTTTCAATTGTTGTGTCCATATGGCTTAGATATAATTGTGATAACGGATGTTTCTGTACACATAAACATTTACGTCAACAGTCGCTTCTTGATTTCATCAGTACCTTTGGCCCAATTTAAGCATTTGAATTTCTGTTCAACCGACTCATGCTTATGTTTACCATCGATCGTAACCGACAAGAGCGACTGAAGCGTCGTCGAATTCCCTCCTTCAACGAAGTCATGATGTGTAATTGATTCTCTTCTTTTCAGAAAAAAAGGATCTTTTTTAATCTTTTCAGACGAGTGGATAGTCGAGTTGCTTTTGCAATAATAAATAAAATATTTTGTTATTTTCATTGTTCCTTTGATTTGGTCGCATAGATACGTCATGTCATTCTCACGTGTTAGCAGGATAATGAAACTTACACAGAAAAAGACATATTGCATTTTCTTAATTCAGACGACATACAGGGTGTGAGGGTGAGAATGCGAAAAGTAGTACTGAAAATTTTTCGTATAGCTTCACTCACACGCACATCACCATGGGCCTATTTGGACAGACAACAAGCCTAGAAGGATGAATAATGTTTTCAGAGTAAGGAAATGTTTATCTTTATCTTTATGGAAGACGCAGGAGGGACTAGTCTCGGTTGTATTTTTATTGAATGAAGTTTCTAAGTATACGATAGACTTCCCTCTAAATTCAGAGTAGATTTGTTTTAAACTCTTTGTCTCTGTTGTTCTTGTGTATTGTAACAGCTTGAATGATCTATTCGAGTAGGAAGAATCAGCATTTGAATTAGTTCTTGTCTCACAAGTTTTGTTTTGACAAAAGGCAATCGGTGATTTACGTGTGTGAATTTGAGGAATGTCAGATGAAGGGAGCTTATTTACTTTCGTGGCTCTATTTAATCCAAGAAAAGAATATGAAAGACGACTAGATCGAATATATTGCTGTCATCATTTCGTTTGATAGATCATACAATATGAATGCCTGGGACTGACACTCAAACTGAAGAGTGTATGGAAGAAAAAGTGATGATCGTAGAATTGAAAAGTCAGATTTTCACTTACTGAAATCATCCTGTTATGAATTATGAAGGAGCTACGAAGCAACTCAAGATAGCATGTTTTCTTGTGCCAGTGAAAAAAGTGAGCTGGAATTGTTTTGAACCTTTATAGGCAACCTTATCCTACTTTATAGCATGGATCGTTCTCTCAAAAAAAGACTGAAAAGTATCATGACGGAGAAGCCACGATATTTGCTCTGAAGAAACTGTCGTTGTTTCAAGTGAGTGATTTTCATTTAGAAATATTGAACAAGTAAGAAGAACGATGCTAGCCTTTGGGTTAGTTTGTGAAACAAATGATAATTATTGACTGAATGTCGCTTCGACGGGCATATGATCATACTTTCTATGGAAGAAAACTATACAGAGTATTATGCGTTCCATTACAAATATAGGCGACGGTACATCGAGTCGGTGTCCACGGATGTCATTTACATTATCATCATAATCGGATGGTGTTCTCAAAAGTTATCGTGTAAACGAACGGATATGCTGATCGATTCTAGTGCGTATTCGCTTTTTGAGTAAATAAAAACGATATTCTTAACATATTTTATATCTTTATTTGGAAAAGAAATATGTTAAACGTAAGCTGTGATAAATCAGTATGTTCCACAACATATTCTCATCTTCTTATGTGATTTTAAGGACTTGTTGTTTGTTTGTCATTTTTCTGAAGTTAAGACAATATACATAGAAAATAATCTTTTATCTATTTACAAGTAACGCTCATCCTTTGGATTTGCTTACCCTTTTCTGAAAGATTTTTCCTAATGCTGAACACATCCAGAGACTTTGAAGGAGAAAAAACACACTGCGATTGCTACTAGTGCTCAACTCAATCATGGCACTATGTCACACACTAGAACTAGAATGAATAGGATACAGAGGTCCTTTTAGGAATCAGACCGATTAGTCATTTGTCAGTGGACAATTCTCCAGCACCAACTATATTAACTGGAAAATTCATCGCTCAACGGCTAGTCAGACGACCACTCACGGCCAACCATTGACCTTTCTCATCTGGTTTTCTATTTTCACATCACGCCCATGGAAATTTTCATAAATGCTTTACTAAGTCACTCATCGACGGACGATATACAGTAGACTACTTGAAAAGTTTGAACATTCGCTTGTGTCTTCCGGCGATAAACCGATTCTGTTCTCTCCTGTCAACGAAATGATACCTTGTCGAATATTTTCATTGAGGAATATCCATTCGTCAAATCCCTTTCAAAATTATCTGAAGCCTGGTAAGGTTATTCTAAGCGTACACTTTAGGATTAATCTAACATTCAAACGCCTAGTCGTTCATCGGTCTCCCTTCGGTCGGCCACTCACGGCTAGCCGTTGACGCACATGATCAGTTTTCATAGTTTTTTCATAAAAAGAAGTAGCTCGTTGATACTGAGTCGATCTGTGATCGAAGTTATCAAAACCTTTCGTGACTGTATAATTTACACTACATATTCTATTGCTCTGTTTAATTTGAAGCGTTGATAATGTACAATACCTATTCTCGAAGCTCGAAAACACATCAATTACGTTCGTTCAAAAATCATTGGCTTTAGTTGAGACAGTGATAAATCTCATCTTTCAAGTAATTTTCAAAATAAACGTCTAGTCGTTCGTCGACCTCCCTCCGGTCGGTCACTCACGGCTAGCCGTTGCCATCCTATCTCTGTTATTCCTTTCGCCTTTGATCAACTTTCAAACTGAACGATTAGGTTTTCTTTTATTGTTGCTTCGACAGTCATGATCTTCCATTCATTCGAGTACCAAAAGAAACTAGATAAGAAAGTCTTATTCTATGATTTGCTTCGAAACGAACATCTTTCACAGTGCTGTATGTGTTCAGAATACTGTTTGTATAGTCCACGCGTCTGTAATTACTAAGATGGAATTCTACCGACGGGTGTATCACTTTGCGAATTGCTTCCACTAAATTCCCATAAAAAGACATGATGTATGTAGCCTAAAAAGCAAAGATGATACTAACGTAAGCTCGTATCACTTTTTCGGATTTCTTCAATTAGAAACATCATTATGTACAATGCATTAGATCTTTTCATGTAAGTTCTTGAGCTACTATCTTTGTACACATGACGTCCGTGAATTGCGTTCAGCTTACCATCATCTACAAAAGATTTTAGAACACATAAAGAAAAATATCTCCTTTGTAAGAGGAAGGAACAAGCCCAAGCTCAGCGAATAAAACGAAATTCACCCTCAAATTCGAATTTCCCGACGTCAAAAATCCTTCGGTCTATTCTGACAATGGATGTTAATAAGTCGTGGCTAGTTAATGAAAAACTAATAATTAATTAATCAACACTAACCTGGGATTCGTGATCCTCGACCCCGATTACCCTTCGGTCAACCGTTACCCTGCATATTAATAATTTATGTCTAGTTGACAGCTAGTTAATTAATAGTTAATTAGTTAAATCTAACCTCGGATTCAAGTTCCCCGACCTCGATTACTCTATGGGTAACCATTTTCTAACAACTATCGATCAATTTTATTGATTTTAGAAATGCTGATTTCTGATTGGATAGGACAGACAAACTTTAAGCTTTTTAGCACAACATTTAAACGCTGTATAACCCTTTCTTTCAGAAAAGGGAATAAAGAACAGTTCGTTGGACTTACCGCGGTACAGTTTGTTTGACGCTTCGCTTTAAACTTTTGCACTCGACTATTACCATAATCAGACACATATAAGTTGAAATCTATGTCAAAGGTTATTCCTTGCGGATTGTGCAACTGCGTAGATGTTCCTCCAGCCTGTCCTGTACCAGCAATAATGACTGGTTTTTGCATATCACTCAAAGAATATTTTAATATCGTTTGATTCAAATTATTCGACACGTATAGATTTCCGCATTGATCTAATTGAAGGCCTGTAGCATCAGTGTGAAGCTAGCACGAAGGAGCTAGCACGAAGAAACTGTGTGTAAGCTAAAAACTTTTTTCCAGAGTTTGTCCGGTTCATAAAACCTAGTCCATTCGATTCAGAATTTAATTCTGCATCGAATGGTGGTATTTTTATTCACCGGACAAACTTTGGAAAAAAGTTTACCACATCTTTGTTTGCCTCATATAGGTCTATTTATGTTTCCGATAATTTTTTTCCAAAGTTTGTCCGGTGAATAAAAATACCACCATTCGATGCAGAATTAAATTCTGAATCGAATGGACTAGGTTTTATGAACCGGACAAACTCTGGAAAAAAGTTTTTAGCTTACACACAGTTTCTTCGTGCTAGCTCCTTCGTGCTAGCTTCACACCGATGCCTGTAGCGGAATAAAAGATTGCATTTGTCGCTAGTGTTTCACCACCAGTCCAAAAGTCTCCGTCAATCCATCGCTGAAGCCGATTATTTATAGCATCAACAATATAAATACCAGAGGTTGTTTCATCAACATATATGGCAGTTGGATAGGATAAACGGTGATAGTCTCCTCCAGCACTACTATCTCCAGCAACCACTTTTCCGTATGCAGATCCTGGTGCAAATTTTAACACTCGATGGTTGCCACTATCCGATACAAAAATATTGTTATTGCTGTCAACATAGTAACACTGGCAACTAGAAATCTGATTCAGAGCAGTGCCTGTTCCCGTTTCACCCACCACTGTAGTGATATTTCCAGTACTGAGGGAGAATTTTTGTATTCTGGATTTGCTTACATCACAGTAATATAAATTCTGTTTTTTATGATCAAGAACAAGTCCATTTACATAATTCGTTAGATATGTTCCATTTTGAACTAATGTCTGAATAGTTGAATCCCCTGGAATAAACTTTTGAATTCTGTAATTATGATAATCTGGTACATAAACATTTGTCTGATCATCTACGGCTACCGCACCTATTGGTCTTAATGGTTGAGCAGCTCAACTTGAGCTGCTCCAGGAATCGCTCGAGCAACGGTTGTTCCAACTGCGTTCCATTCCAAACATTTACACGAGTTCACTGAAGGAGAACAGAATAAATTGTATTATGTGAAAAAGAATTGCCATACAGCTGTTTGAGACTTTTATTACGCCGAGCTACTTTTGTGGAAAGACAAAAGATTACAGTTATCTCGACGATGAGGATAGATATGTGAGTGTCGATAAAAACGATAGTCGCATCCACACTTTATAGGTTGAATTTGTATTTTTCTCATATTCTTCTTACTTACATGCTACAGTTGTTGCTTTTGTAGTTGTGGTGGTAGTAGTTGCTGTTGTTGTTGACGTAGATGTAAATATTGTTGTTCTGTTTTCTGCAATTGACAAAGGTGGACATATGTCTGAATCAATTAAGTTTAATGGATAACACACCGGTTGGTCAAAATTATTACAAGAATGTTTTCGAACGCAGACTGTATAAGGTTTGGAACAAGTTACATGATCTTGTTCGCAGGGAGTAAGAAAAGCACAGCTAATACTTGGTATCGCACAAATACCAACAAATTCACTTGCTGACAAAGGCATGCATCGGCAGTTTGAATTCGATGAACATTGAGTATCCATAGTTTCTGTCATTGGATTGCACAACGATTCCGACGGAACTAGAGCTTTCAAGTCGACAGTGTGGCTATCTCTACCTTGTGGTGAATTTTCTAGATGGTCGAAGGAGGAGAAGGACATACTTCCTACATCCATCCAGTAGGTAGTAATGAACCTAGTATAGTTAAATTGAGTCTGTCGAAACTTGCGAAACAAAATGCAGATTATTTTCACTTACAAGGAATAGAAGATCAAAGAGGCACGTCGCAGCATGATCATTGTTATGATAAGTTTGTCACGATATCGGGTAGTCTGTTTAGTCAAAGTTTTGTGTTGCTAATAAATTATTTAGATAGGTTTTTTTCTCGTAAAGCAACACGACAATCATAATCATCCATTTAAATAGTGCTCCACCTGCACTTTCTCTCAATGAAAAGATGAATGTGGGTTTCGTTTCTCCCATAATAAAATAATCTAGACGAGAGCGATCATTCTCGGAAAAATATAAACGAGAAGGTAGTTATTCCACGAAGCCACCGTTAAAGTATGAGTGCGGATGAATGTGTGAAACAAGAGCAGATGCTTCTGTCTGCACTCATATCTATAACATAGAAAAATAGCCCCTTACAAAAAAATTCTGTCTCTCTCTCTCTCTCTCTCTGTGCAAACGAAAAATTTTACCAGTCTAATTTTTTTATATGTTACTGGTCGGGTCTGTCGGAGCGAACAATCTTTCGATCCAAGCCCGGATCCAAAAACAGACCCCGACTCGATCCAACCAGGTCCGATTTTATCTGACGGACTCTATCGATCGCACTAGAATGTCCTTTTTCTCACGAAATCCATACTTTAAGTAATCTTTAATATTAACACGTAGTAGTTTATCAATCTCGCTCTTTCTAGTAATACAAAAGCCACTGAAAAATTCTTTTCGAGCGATTAGTTGTCTCGTCCGATGTCATCTTCATCAGTTCTTTCATTCATAAATATTGTCGTTCACCAAGTGAAATATTAAACGAGTAGTCCATCAGTCCTCCTACGGATTTTTGTGGGTCTGGCTATACGTTGCGCTCAATACGACTCTGGCGCGAAGACACTAAACCCAGAGCGGAAGGAGATATGAAAATGATAGATCAAAAAGCATCTTTAATTTATTTTGATGACTTAATATGAAACACATTCCATCTTTTAATGCTGGTTAAGTAAAGACACTACATGTTCGTGAGTCGAAATGCCATCTCATGCTAACAACTTGTTGATACATCAGTGGTAAGATAAATCAAAATTGTCTGATGAAATTATTACAAATGAATATTCTATTTCGCATAATTATCCATTGTATGTTGATATCATTGTTTCGCGTTACAACACAAAATTTTTCCCTTACAGAATATATTTTTCGCGACATCTAACGCCCCCTATGATAACTTGGTATTTATTTCGGAAACAAACGTAAGAGAATATAAATTAGATCCGAATATAAATTAATCGCCGTCAAATTCAGCAAGATGTTTGCAGAAACAGCGAATGTTTTCGCTTATTAGTATCCTTCGATGAATCATTGGATGTTCAAGACTGCCTATGTTATTTTACCTGATCATTCATATAGCATTTTTGATTTGATAAAATCTTTTTCACTCATAAGTGAATAGATTGATATCAATTTTCATGTTTTAGATTCTTTAAAAAAAGAAACTAGCAATAATGGCTGGCGAATATGACACAGCAATCACAGTGTTTTCTCCTGATGGACGTCTTTTTCAAGTTGAATATGCGCAGGAAGCCGTGAAGAAAGGATCAACAGCCGTTGGTGTACGAGGCAAAAATATCGTTGTTCTAGGAGTGGAAAAGAAAGCTGTTGCTGTTCTACAGGAAGATCGGTAAGATTTTCATTTCAAACTATTTTTCATTTTGATTTGCGAATGATTTTAGTACAGTGCGTAAAATCTGTGTGCTCGACGATCATGTTGCTATGGCATTTGCTGGTCTCACAGCTGACGCTCGTGTTCTTATGCATCGTGCCCGTAT